GTGCAGTCGTTAATACCAAACCGAAGACAGCATTGGCAGTCAGACCTTAGTCAGGCAGCCGTGGTTTTCTTGGTCTTTGTCCCGTCTTTGTCCCATCAGTGTCCCGTCTAGCAGAACTGACCTGACAGTAACATACAATTTCCAAGTGTGAAAAAAAAATTGCCTCTCAGGAGCCTTTCCTTTGCGTGAAACAAACTTGTTCATAAGGAAGTGAGTTTTGAAACTGGCTACACTTCAAAAAAAAAAAAAGAAGAAGAAGAAGGTTTCTCAGGTATAATTACAGTGAGATTAGCTGCTTGGTTCAGATCTAAACCACCCACAGGGGTAAAGTGTCGCTTGTCATCATGCTTAGGACTTCTGCATCCAACCGAGTGACAGCCGACCTGCTCTCACTTCTCCGTCTGAAGCAACGCATAGAGGCCCTGTTCTCTTTCTCCCACCATTCTTACACCGCTCGTCTATAGCAGGAGCTCCTGATTGCGATCCCTTAGAGTCATTCTGTATGTTGCCAAGTTTGTGTAACTCACAAATGATCCTGTTACTCTGATTTCTCCCTTAGCAGGAAAAGCAGTCAGTGTGAGTGCTGACTCACAGCACTGCCAGGGAGTCTGCTCCAACGGGAGGGTGCTCTCTGTAAACACCCTGAAAACGATGACCATAGTTTTTTTTTAAAAAATACTTTATAAAGACTTCCATTGTTGTGTTGTTTTTGTTGTTGTTTAGTTTTTCATATTTACTTGTTTGAAAAGCAAAGTTACAGAGAGAGAGAGGGGGAGAGACAAAGATTTTCTCTCTGCTGATCTGAACGGCCTCAATGGCTATAAACTTGGCCAGCAGAAGCCAGGAGCTTCTTCCGGGTCTCCCATGCAGGTGCAGGGTCCCAAGACCCTGGGCCGTCCTCCACTGTTTTCCCAGGCCACAAGCAGGGAGCTGGATGGGAAGTGGAGCTGCCCAGATATGAACTAGAGCCCAGGTGAGATGCTGGTTTCCCAGGTGGTAGCTTTACCCACTACATCACAACACTAACCCCCAAGTGGTAATGATTTTAAAAATCATTTTATTTTATTTGAAAGGCAGAATGATAGAGAGAAAGAAAGACAGGGAGAGAAAGAGATCTTTCAGCCACTGGTTCACTCCCCAAATGGCTGCAATAGGTAATGCTAGACCAGAACAGAGGGGGGCGCTTAGAGTTCCATCAGGGTATCCTATCTGGATGGTAGGGGCCCAAGTACTTGGGGTCATCTTCACCTGCTTTCCCAAGTGCATTAGCAGGGAACAGGATTGGAAGTGGAGCATTTAGACTTAAACTTGAGATACTAGCATTTCAGCTGGCAGCTTAACCCTCTGCTGTTGGAATCTGTGCAGTGGGTATGGAGAACATCAAGGAATGAAGAGAACTGTTTCATTGCAGGCACGGCCGCAAGGAATATCTTGCTGCATGGCAGGGCCCGGCAGATGTCTTTGCAACTGCCTGAAGATGGTCCCACCTCCCTTTGCATGGACACCGGACCAGGCCACTGAGAATTCTGTAGTCTGTCGAGGCATTGGCTGCCACTGCGGAGTTGGTTTTTACTATCAGTGTGAGCTTGGAAGCTGATGTTGCTGATAACGTGTTGCAAAGGGGCCTTTTACAATTCATGCTGTCTCTGTCTCTGCTGTCCCCATGGCCCATTATGATCATGAAATCGTAGTGGTTCATTTCTTTTCTCTTTACGCCTGCTCTACGCACCCTTCCCGAGTTCCAAACTTGGCTGGAGCTGAACTCCAGCACTCTGCACTGCTTTGCCAGCCCTCAAAATGCTGATAAAGAATGAAAAAAAAAATAAATTTTAACCCTGTGTTAACAAAAACCACCACCACTTGGAAATGCAGTACTTATTAAGTATATATAAGTATATATAAGATAAGGAAAAGAAGAAAATAGGGTAGTAAGGAAAGGGCTCTTTGGGGTGTGCCCTGGGAGCTAAGAGGTGAAGGAGGTGAGATAGCAAGTCGTGGTGATTTCTGGGGGCAGAGTATTCCAAGCATGGGGAGGGACAGGGCAAAGGCACCTCCTGAGGCAGCAGCCTGCTGTGGAGGACCATTTGGTGGGAGGAGGAAGTGAGATGAGGTTAAGGTAAAGGGGTCTGATATGGTGGCCTTGCAGACCATTGTGAGGACTGAGTGGGGTGGATCCGACCGAGGTCCTTGCACTGATGCAGGTGCTAACATGGCTCCTCCGGGGGAGCAGACACTGGAAGGTTAGAGATGACAGAGGTGAGGGAGGGGAGAAGAAAAGCTGGACAATGGGCACATGAGGCCTTGGCTATGTCTCCGCCCCCTTGTGTGCGTTGGGGCGGGGGTGGTCCCAGGCTTGAGCCAGCCCATGCAGGCTCACACAACCAGTGATGTCCATGCTGGAGCAGGCTTATCTAGAACAGTGCCCTGAGGAGTTAGAAAGGCACCTGGCACACAGAAGGACCCCAGTGTACTCCTGGCAGTGCTAGGGCGTGTGCTTTCTTGGCAGTTGTTTCTCCATCGCACTCACAGACATACACACATGCACACACATCCTAGAGGGACCATGTACGGAAACGTCTTTGCAAAGAGTACTTGGCCAAGAGGGGCGTCTGTTGTCTCACTCTTGGGGACCGCCAGCCAGGATATGCTCCCACGATGGAGCCCTGCCCTGTGCCACCTACTCCTGGGTGACTTCGGGCAATGCTGACCTTCCAGGAGCCTCATCTTCCTCACATCCCTGCTTCCTGGGTGGTTTTGAGGCCAGAGTGAATCATGTCTGTGTGTGTGCTCAACCCAGGCCAGTAAAAGATGGCTCAGACAGTGGCTCCTAAACTCCTCTGCCTGGTCATCAGCACCAGTGAGAACGGGCCCTTCCCTTCAGCTGCTGCCAACCCTCATTCCTGCCTCCTTGGGCAGAACAGCCTGTTTCTTGCCCATGCCTCTTCCAAGGCCCACACCAGTGGTGTTGCTGCTGCCAGCTACCACTGGTGCCTGGCCTGCATCTCACAGCTTGACCCTCTTAGTCCTGGGTGCAGATGGATATCAAGCATGCACCATTTGAAATGTGATTGCACATTATCACATGCACCGTGAGGATCAGAAGGCATGAGAGACCAGGACAAGGGTCCACCTGTTGTCAAGGAGGGCGGATGTGAGCCTGGGTAGAGAGACAGACAGACAGACAAGACAGTCCTAGCAGAGTGGACAGCAGACAGGGCCTCCAGCCTGGACAGGGCCGTGCCTCCTGCATCCTGCAAAGCCAGCTCAGAGCCCTCCTTTTCCAGAAGCCTCCCAGGAGTGACCATCCCACACATCTTTAGCATTGTGGGGTCCCTCATGTGTGTACAGATGAAGTCAGGGAAAGCTCCCACTTTGCAGGATGTTGCCCTTCATGACTGGCTTTGAAAAGCAGCCATTGTAAGATTGTTACAAGTAGGGGCTGCTCCTCTGGGACACAGACCTCCAGATGCTCAGGGGTGGATATGCGGTTCTGTGAATCAGAAAGCAAGGAGCAGTCGCCCCCTGTAGAGTCTGAAGCGCACCACAAACATCCTGATACATGGCTGGGTGAATGGGTGCCACATGAGCCAAGAAACACAGTCAGATGTACCTGGTAGAATCTTAAGGGGGTGAGGCAGGGGGTGGGGCCCACGTGCTAACCTGACGATATGTTACAGGATAAAGGAAGACAGCCAACACGAGGCATCGGGGACGCCCCCTCTGTTGGGAGCGCTGTCCCTCCTGGCCCTGCTGTGTCATGTAATTTTCCTTGGTGTGCTGTGGTGGTGTTACTACAGGGTCTGTTTCTGGCCTGACTCCTCAGAAGGCTAAGACTCCCCCACAGCAGGAGCTGTTGATGGAGTCCGGGAGCTGGAAGCAGTGTGTGCACCCCCTGTGTGTGTAGAAGAAATGGGGGTTCCTGCTGGCACCTACCTGGAATGCATGGCAAGGGTTGTGGAAACCCCATGGGGGCAGACCTGTGCCTTCTCCAGGGCTGCCTTCCACTGAGTATCCCAGCCCGGCAAGCCTCAGTTTGTTCGTTCTTACCTTGGGGACCACAAGAGGGCATCAGCCTTCGGGCTGTGGGAGTCCTAGCTGGCTCCAGGGTGTGGACAGCTTTGCCCACGGGGTTGTGCAGTCCTGAGGGCTGTTGTCATGTGTGCTCTGGGCTCTGAGTGCTGCAGGGACCCTACATCAGGTCCCCTCATGTCTGCACAGCTGCCTGCAGTGAGGAGTCCCCCACTCCTGGGGGCCATTTGTCTTCCTCCTGGGCCTCCCCTCTTCTGCTCTCCAGAAGAATCTCCCACTCTCACGTCAATCTCTTTCCTCTCTTCCCTGTTGGCTGACCCCCTGCCCATGCCCACCGGGAGAGTTTTCTCTTCTGAATGGGCTGTCCTAGCCCTCCTCTGATGGTGTGACCTTGGCTGTGTTTCTTACATTGTGCAAGCCTCTGCGTGTTCCTCTGTAAAACGGGAGTGATAGGCAATGATGTCACGCCTGGGAAGCACCCAGCAGGTCTGGGTTGCGCAATAAGCACAACTGGCTATTGTTGGCCCTTGGTGCCGCACCCCAGGTGAGGATGCTCCCGCCCCGCCCTCCCGGCGCTCTGTCCCTGTCAACAGCCTGCAGGGTGCCAAGCACGAACTGTGCACGTGAGCAGGGCATGGCTTGTCTCTGTTGACTGCCCTCTGAGAGCTGATGGATCTGACATCTGCCCAGCAGGTGTATCAGATTCCCATCTCCCCCAGCTGAGAGGCAAGAAGCACAAAGACAACCTCCCCACTCCCTGGAGAGAGAGAGGGAAAGAGAGGGAGAACAGAGGACCATAATGGGAGATGGGAAACAGGGCACCACATTTATTCATAAGTCTCAGAACAGCCCCTTTAAGGGGCTCCAGAAATCTGCCCCCAACCCATTCCAAGCTCCTGCCAGTCATTCCAGCTGACAGGGCAACAGGAACGTCCGCGTGCCCGCGTGCTTGGCAAGGCCAGGACGTCTGTTTAGGGCATGATGGCGGCGATGCTCTGGAAAAGAGAAGGAACAAATGTGGGGTGCAGAGCAACAGGAGGGGACCTGCACCACCCACCTGTTGCCTGAGAAGCAAAAGGGACACTGACTATTGTGGCCCAGGAGTCTTGGCCTGGGGAATGCTTTCAGGACTGTGACCTCTGGGTTCCGGAAGGATGGGGAGCCAGCCCTGCCATGCACAGGCACTGGGGTGCCTCAGAAGGAATCAGAACGGACAAGCCTCATCTGTTTGGCCTCAGAGGTTCTTCTGCCACCCCCATGGCACCTGGGCTATTCTTCTCCCACACCCAAAGCAAAACGAAGAGCCAGGACTTGGTTTTGACTTGGGGCCCAGACTGAGGGCCAGGATCAACAGGAGCCTTAAAGACACAAGCGTCTCCTCCCCAGCACACTGACACAAGGCACAGGTAGATACAGTGGGCTGACAGGTCTGGGGGTGAGGGGCGGGACAGCCAGAAGGCCTGGGAGTTGGAGGACAGGGATAAGGACACATGCTGAGCACCACAGGAGGATGGCTGCAGCATTGGCCCCCATGGGCAGCAGGGCCCAGCAGGGTGTGCCTCCATGGGCCTGGACAACAACCAGGCACAGAGCAAAGAAGAAGAACAGAGGAGGGATGGTCAGTGTGGGAGCCAAGCCTGCCTGCAGGAAAACTGCCTGGGATCAGACAGGGAGGTGGACCGGTGGAAGGGGGGACATGGCACTCACCCTCCACAGCGCCGGAAAGTTGATGAAGGGCCTGTTGACCGAGGCCTGGAATTCAAGGACAAGGTCAGTGAAGCCTCTGTCCCCTGCCACCCTTAGGGAACTCCAAGCAGCTTCAAACCCCCATGCCCAGACTTACTCCAGATGCTACTGTAGTGGTTACGCCCCCTGCGTGCTGCCCGGTAGAGCCGCCTTGTCCGCCCTGTGAATGGAAGCCCAGAGTCGTCACCACCACTGTCACCCATTGCTCCCCGGTGGCCTCTGGGGCGACTGGCTGTGGCAATCAGGCACAGGCTTAGTCCTCTGCCTGCCTCCGCACTGACTGGGAAGAAACCCTGTAGCTGTGGCACCAGGGTAGTTCTGTGGGCAGTGCCTGGAAGGAAGTCAGCCTCCTGCCAATGGCTTTGCTGAGCTCCCCTTCATGGTAGTGAAGCAAAGACAAGAAGAGAGAGCCTACCTGGAGAGGGAACCCAGGACCCCATAAATGCTGGGGGTGAGAGTGAGGTGACAGTAAGCACCCGGGGTTCACAGTCTAGCCCTATCCCCTACTTATCTGATCCCCTCTATGATTCTCCCCCAGTATGTGCCTCCCCACTGATGCGCCCACCCCACAGGCTGCCTGTCCCAAACCAGCCATCTTCTCCTGGCCTTCACTCAGGGCCCTCCATAACCCAGAGCCCTCTCCACAGAGCCCCTTCCTCACCCCCATCTCCAGCTCCCCCAAATCCTCCCTGGCTCCCTGCCTGGCAGCTTCAAGGCCTGGGCCAGTCCTCATGGTGGTGCCACTCCTGGCCCACCTCAGGTGACTGGGGCAGAAGAGAGTCTGCTTTACACTACCCAGGCCCCCTTCCCTCGGTGCCTGTGGTACTGTGAGGGGTACTGCCTGCCTGGCCTCCCATATACGTTCCTTCCACACAACATGTGAGATGACTCCAGACAGTGTAGAGGACGAGACAGAACCCTGGCCTGCAGCTTGCCAAAACTCGGCACTGCCCACAGGACTTTGGCTTTAGCCAGCATCCTCACTGGCACTACCTCAGGGTTGCTACGAAAATGAAACTAATCAGAGTTCATCTGCAGAGTGGTCTTCCGCTGTCCATAGCTCAGGGTTGGCTCAGCACCCCTTCTGTTCACACTCCATTTCCAGGAGATATTTAAGTACCGCCCCACCCCCTTAGCTAGTAGGACAACTCCCAGGGCCCCTCCCTAATTTGATGTGGGGCTTGGCAGACAAGACAGCCTAATCCACCCAACCGGCCCGCCGCTACCAGCTCCTTTGGACAATGGCTAGAGAGCGGCCTGTTGTCCCTCCATCCCACAGAGGCTGCTCCCGGGGTGTACCCTCTCCCTCCCCATGCCACCCCCTCCCTGGTGCCCGCCCCTGTTCACCTACATTCAGCAGCTGGTTGGCCTCCTTGCTGGCTTGGTTGGCCCCATTATGAACATTCTGCTGCCACCTGTCCACTTCCTTCTCGGCCTGGCCGGCAGCATGCTGGACACCATGGCCAAGTTTCTGCGCCTCCTTTCCGGCCTGGCCAGCAGCATGTTGGACCCCTTGGCCAAGCTTCTCTGCCTCCTTCCCGGCCTGCTGGACCCCATCGTGGACCCCTTGGACCACTTTGTCTGCTTCCTTTCCGGCCTGTTCAACGGCATGGTGAACTCCCTGGCCAAGCTGCCCCGCCTCCTTCCCAGCCTGGTGATGCATACCTTGGCCTATTCTGTCTGCCTCCCTCCCAACCTGCCCTGCTGCATTGTGAACCCCCTGGCCAAACCGCTCTGTCTCCTGCCAGGCTTCATTAACCCCACGGCTAAGGTCCTGGCCAAAATGTTCCAGTCCTCTCCCAGCCGGGTTGGCCCCAGCATGAAAACCTTGAACAAGTTCATCTCTCTCTTTCCCAGCCTGCCCTGCGGCATAATAAGCATCATGGCCAAACTGCTGACCCTCTGTTCTGGCCTGGTTAACTCCATGATAGGTCCCCTGGACTACCCTATCTGTCTCCTTCCCTACCTGACCAAAGGCATGGTGGCCTCCCTGGCCCAGCTTCTCTGCCTCCTTTCCAGCCTGACCGAAAGCATGGTGGGCACCATGGCCAAACCTCCCAGCTTCGTCCCCACCCTGACCAAAGGCATGGTGGGCACCCTGACCAAACCTCCCGGCTTCATCTCCAGCCTGACCAAAGGCATGGTGGGCACCCTGACCTAGCTTCTCTGCCTCCTTCCCAGCCTGACCAAAGGCATGGTGGGCACCCTGACCCAGCTTCTCTGCCTCCTTCCCGGCCTGACCAAAGGCATGGTGAGCACCCTGGCCAAACCTCCCAGCTTCGTCCCCACCCTGACCAAAGGCATGGTGGGCACCCTGACCTAGCTTCTCTGCCTCCTTCCCGGCCTGACCAAAGGCATGGTGGGCACCCTGACCCAGCTTCTCTGCCTCCTTCCCAGGCTGACCAAAGGCATGATGGGCACCCTGACCCAGTTTCTCTGCCTCCTTCCCAGCCTGACCAAAGGCATGGTGAGCCCCCTGCCCTAACTTCTCTGCCTCCTTCCCAGGTTGACCAAAGGCATGATGGGCACCCTGACCCAGTTTCTCTGCCTCCTTCCCGGCCTGACCAAAGGCATGATGGGCACCCTGCCCTAACTTCTCTGCCTCCTTCCCAGGCTGACCAAAGGCATGATGAGCCCCCTGCCCTAACTTCTCTGCCTCCTTCCCAGGCTGACCAAAGGCATGATGGGCACCCTGACCCAGTTTCTCTGCCTCCTTCCCGGCCTGACCAAAGGCATGATGGGCACCCTGCCCTAACTTCTCTGCCTCCTTCCCAGGCTGACCAAAGGCATGATGGGCACCCTGCCCTAACTTCTCTGCCTCCTTCCCAGGCTGACCAAAGGCATGATGGGCCCCCTGGCCAAACCTCCCAGACTCATCCCCAGCCTGCCCCACAACATGATGGGTCCCTTGGCCAAACCTCCCTGCTTCATTTCCCGCCTGGTTGACCCCATGATGGATCAGTTTGTCTGCCTCCTTCCCAACCTGTCCAGCAGCGTTGTTGGCCCCGTGGGCAAACTTCTCTGCTTCCTTCCCTGCTTGTCCGGTGCCACTGTTGATCCCATGGGCTACCTTGTCCAAGCCGCTGTTGAGGCCTTTGTCCACCTCCTTGACGGCCTGGTTCCCCATGCTGCTAAGTCCATTAAAAACCTTCTCCACTTCCCTTCCGGCTTGCGTGATTCCATTATTGATGCCTTCCAGGGCCTTGCCCACCTCTCTCTCTGCATTGCTCAGCCCTCGGTTGATCCCTTCAAGGACCTTCTCAAGGGGGTCATCGCTGGCTGCCCATCCAGGCAAGGCTCCCAGAAGCAGGAGCAGGAAGCAGGAGCCGAGCACACGGGCAAGACGCATTTTGCTGGGGAGGTGGGGAGGATGCAGAGAGCAGCTGGGCAAGGCTGGCAGCTACTTATCCTCTCCCACCTTTGCCCCACCCCTCATGACTCAGGCACTCCTGGGAAGCCAACTTGGTCCTAAGTGAAGGAGGTATTTCCCAGGCAGATTTGGGATTGAGCAAGGAAGAGGTGGAGGTGAGTCACGAGAGGTGAGGAGCCCCAGCACCTCTGCGCCTTGCTCCCTCCACCCCAGCGGACAGGGTCTGTCCCTGCAGCCACACACTCCCCAGACCTCTCCTTTCCAGCCCATTTCAGCCATACTCCATCTCTGGGACAGCCCTGGACACTATCACTCCTCTCAGTGAGCTGCACATCCAGTCTCACCTGCAGCAAGATTCAGGGCGAGGGTGGGACAGTCATCAGACCCTGATCTTGCAGACCCTCCACTCCTCGCTTGCCCAGCTGCCCAGGCAGCCTCCCTGTGCCTTAGCACATCAGACTGACCCCTGCCTCATGACCTTTGCACTCACCCTTCTCCACCTGCAATTCAGAACCCAGGCTTTCATGCTGCTGGCTTAACCCTGATGCCACCTTCTCCCAAACCCCTTATGCCGGCCACCTCCCATCACAGCTTGCTCTCCCACCTACACTCTGCAGTGTCTTCCTTGTTTTTTTGCAGCAGTTACTGTGAGCCACAGTCACCTGCAGCTTTTATTGTCTCATCTACCACATGGTAATGTTCCCGAGGCCAGGGCCTTGGTCTGTGCTGCTCACTACTGTGGCCTCAGCTTGCCAGCACTGCTTGGGGTTCAGTCAACACAGATGTGACACATGGATGGACCAGAAGAAGCCAAAGGGAGAGATCCCATGCTAGAGCCCAAGTCCCCATGGGTGCTGCAGGGGAGCGTTCCTGAGCCCCTCCAGCAGCAAAAGGATCCCTGGAGAAGGGATGCAGACTGTCGAGACACGACCACATTCTCATTGTGGCCACCAGCTCTCCTGCCTCCCAGCCCTTGGGCAAGGGCAGGGGGCTGATTGTCATGAGCTGGGATGGGACGCAGTGTCTCCTGAAAAGCCGGTTGAGGCAGCCACTGGGAGGGGCTGAAGACCTGGGGCATCAGGAAGCTGTTAGCCAGAATATGGGCTAGGGGCCAGGAGCTCATCCTTCCTGTCCTCCTCCCTTCTTCCTCTGGGGCCCCCAATGCCCTAACCTGAAGCCCCCACATACTGCCATAGTGGCCCAGGCTAAAGAGGCAGATAGCCACAAGCCTGGTCCTGAATGGCAGTTGAAAGGGCAGGTGGTAGTTGGCAAGCTTGTGGGTGGCATATCTCCCTAGGGGCTAGTTTGGAACGAGGCTAAGAGCAGAGGAACATGAGCCCATGGGCGGGTATGGTTGGGTGCAGGAATGGAAGATATTTGGGTTTTGATGCCAAGAGTGAGACTGAGAGAGGGAGTGGGGATAGCATCATTGGCGGGAAGGCCAGGCAGGAAGGAATGAGCAGGGAGTGAGCGCCTGGGGGTGGCAGAGTTATGTGTGTGTGGGTGCCCAGGTGTGGTGAGAATCCGCACATGTTTTCAGATTGGCCCAAACCAAGGTGCCAAGGTCCACGTGCTCGCCTTAGAGGACTCCACCCTAGATTCTGGACATTTGATGCCACCCAGAACTGGGCATCCCAGGCCAGAGACCAGGGCTCTGCCGTCAGAAGGTGACTAATCATGCCATCTTAAGCGAGTGTGAGCTCAGTGGCTCTGTTCTCCAATTTTATGCTTCAGAAACAAAACCAAATCCTCAGGCAAGCTCAGGTGTGGTTTTTCTGCCCTTGTCCGGCATCTCAATACTGGAGGTTCCCATGTCAGGAGACACCTGGGAGGAGAGCAGGATGAGGTGTTTGGGAATCCCAACCTGCTTCCAGGTCCACACATGGGGTGGCTCCCTTTGAAGTCACTGCAGCTCATCTTTTTCGCCTCTGCCTCTCCCCTTCTACCCCATTGTCCTTCTTTGGGAAGCCTCATTCGCACACATGAGTCTTTCTGTGCCCATTAGTAACTCTCTAACTCAAGCCTTTGACATCTGCTTCCATGACTAAGATTGGCTCAGATTTGACCAGCCTCTGCTGCTTTGGGGAACAAGGTTGCGTTGGCTTCCTACAAGGAGTTGAGGAAGCTTCACCAGAACATACAGTTGCTGGCCCCACCATGGGCCCCTACCCTAAGTGCCCTAATAACCTTCCCCGCATTAAGGGCTGCAATGGGGCAGCCCAACTCTGCCAAGACCCCATATCAGTTAATGCAGAATGGTCAAGATTTGCTCCCAGCAGGGCTGCTGATTACATCACCAGCATGAAGACCAGCCTTGCTTCTCCTCTTGTATCTGACCCAGATTTGCCGTCTCCTCCTGCACTAGTTTTATCCCTTATATGTTCAAAGAGAAATGCTAACCGCATCCTGCTTTTCAAAGTGGCCCCAAACCAACCCCACTTCCATCTCGGTTATATGTGTGCTGATTTTTTTTCTTCTCAACTACACACATGAAAAGTTTCTTGGCCTTTATTTACTCCTCTGTCTCCATCTCTTTATGTCTGTCTCACTGCCCTTCAAATATCGATTTTTTTAAGGTGAGGGGGCGGGGGACAATTGACCTTAGCAGTTAAGAAGTCCATATCTCAGACAAGACTGTCTGGGCTCATCCTGGCTTCACTCCCAGCTCTAGCCTCTGGTTGCTGGAACACCCTGGGAGGCTCAGGTGATTGGGTCCATAACCACCATGTGAGATGTCTGGATTGAGTTTCTAGCCCCTGACTTTAGCCTTGCCCAGTCCTTCCATTGCAGGCATTTGGGTAGGGACACAATGAAATGGGAGCACTATGTCTGACAGTCTTTCTCTCTAACCCTATGTACAGTAAATGTGTAATGGAGACTATCATATCCAAATGTGAGGATACAATGCAGTATGCATCTCTACTTCCAGATCAGAGATGGACTCCCAATGAAACTGTTATCTTGACAATGGGATGCTGGACTTTCTGCCATTGTCCATGCCCACAAGGATGAACATATGACTGTTCATGAAGAACTATACTATAGTAATAAAATAGGGAAACTCAATGGTGGGGGAGGAGGGAACTGGGGGAGGGGATAGGAAAATCCCAGGGCCTATGGAGCTGTATCACAAAATGATAATGATAATAATAATAAAGAAAAAATAACAATAATGAAGTGGTTTCCACTTTTAGTTCATCCTGTTTGTTGATCTTGCTGTCCTGAGTCCTGCTTGTCTGAACACCCATTGATTTCCATCTCCCTCCTCCCCTCCCAGTCCCTGCAAGCAGGCAGGTTTCACCCTTGACCCTGTACCTACAGCAGGTGCTTGACCAATGGATGCCCACGGGGGCTCAGGAAAGAAATGGTTATGTCATTTTGCATCTCCTCACACCCACCCCTCTCCCTAGGATGATGACTCGTTCCTAGCATGAGCCCCCACCCTCCCTAAGTCCCTAAGTGTTGGTCACAGCTGTGTATCAGAACCAGTCTGAATCATTGATGTGCAGGCAAGCCCCCACGCCTGGGCTATAGGGGAGACAGCCACTGGGCTCTAGGCTAGTCTCCAAGCATTAGGAAAAGCCTGGTGCACAGTGGTGAAGGAAACTGGCAGGAATACTCCCCCTGGGGTGCTCAGAAACCCATAGGGGAAGACACGGAACAAGGGGAGCAGTAACTAAAGACACAAGGACAAGAATAGGGTGTTTTAAAAGTTGGGGATCAGAGGTAATCTGATGGGGTGATATTGGCTACTTATTCATTTGAGTATTTATTGAGCAAGCCCCTTCTAGTGCCAAAAACAAGCTTCCGGTCTGTGGGATTACAGAAGTGGCAAGGATAGAGGAGGTCCCTTCCCGCCCAGAGGCAACTGACAAGAAGACAAATGAATAAGCATGATTTCCAGGGAGAAATGTGCTAAGTCAGAGATTCCTGGGAGACAGAGAGGAACTGTGGAGTATCGGGGCCAGGGGTGCCAACTGATGGACAAAGGGAGGGAATTTTGATGGCAAGCCTTCTCTGGGAAAGGCGGCAGTGTAGGGAACCCAGGGGGCTCTGCAGGGCCAGTGTGTCGGGGAGGGGAGGTGTGAAGAAGTGGATTGCATCCAGGCACCAGCAAGTGGCCTGGAAACCTTGTGGCACCACGTGCGGAGGGCACCCGTCTCCATGGGGGTGGCATGGGGAGGCCCCTGTGCCTCTGGTCCACACACGTGCACACCGCCTCTCTGTGACGTCACAATCGTGTGGCGTCATGGCCAGAAGCTCAGGACCCACTAGCCCCGGCGCCCTCACACCTCAGTAACATCACGGCAGATTCCGGAACAGCTAGGCCATGACACCTTAGAAGGCCATGTCGAAGCGTGACATCGTTCTCACCAATGTTACGGTTGTCCAGCTGCTGCGACAGCCATGCCCAGGTGAGGGAGGCTGCCGAGCGGATCCAGGGGAGGGGAAGAGGGGACGGTCGCAACACACTTCCTGCCGCATCTGACCTGCGGGGTGGAGGGATCTCCTTTCCCTACGCACTGCTGGCTGCATCCACCCAGCAGGAGGCGCAGGAGCCGCTTGGCTGCCACCCTCCACCCCCATCCACCTTACCTACCCCGCCCCACTCCCCGGGTTTGCGCACCCAGTGGTTTCTCTGACGCTGGTGGGTAGGACGATGGGAACACACCATCCCGGGGCTGGGTCTGCTCTGTGCTGCTGCAACGCGATGGGAAGGGCAGACACGGGGACTGAGACCGGAGCTGGAGCGCAGAGGGGAGGGCGGGGCGCTGGCCAGGAGAAGTTAAGCGGGACTTGCAGGTACTGGGGGCCACTGGAGTGCTGGCTCAGCTCTGCCCGGATTGGGTACAGCCGGGAGCTGGCAAACTGCCAAAGCCGTGCTGTGGGCCCTACAGTGCCAATAACTTGGGAGACATATGCTCCAGGTGTAGCCAGGGTGTTCGCCAGAGATCAAAAGAGGGTGAACCACTTTGCTGAGTCTCAGCCAAGCTGCTGACCTGCCGACTCTTCCTCTCGGCCACTGGGCAACCTGCTTCCCAGTTCCCTCGCCCCCCTCCACTCCACTCCATTTTCCCCCATTCCTGGAATTGCAGAAGTACAGCCTTCCTCCATTCCCAACCCAGCTATATAAATGTCCTGCCTCCATGAGAGCGAGACACAACCTCCGGGGATGCAAACATCCTCAAGGGCACAATAAGGACAGGGTCACTACCGCCAATAAACCCAAACACTTATGTGAGCTCACTCTGCTCCAGCAAACATCACTGGCCTGGCCTCAGGCCACACCGTCTGATGAGGAAAAGATGAGAAAAGACAAAGGCCCGCAGTGTCTAGTCTCATTAGCTCCAGGATCTCTATGAATCTGTGCTGAGAGCAACTCCCAGTCACCCTTCGGCCCCTCAATGCTTAGTACCCAATTGCTCACCTCCTTCACTAAATCCACCTGCTATCTGTGGCTCTAGGACATGCTGAACCAACAATCCCCATCCCCAGCAGCAGGTGACTGAGCCAGGGCTAGCAGCCAGCTCGAACCCTCAGGCTCCCCTGGCTCTGCCTCCACCTGCAGAAGGTATTAGGAAGCATCCTCCCTGCACAGGTGTTAAAAAGGGTGTGTGGGTGCATCAGCATGTGCCTGCAGAGGCAGGAGCCCCCCGGCTCTCCTTTGGTTCTAACGGTGTCCTTCACCCACTTTCCTACACTTCTGTACAGATCCACCAAGTCACATGTGTCTCAGCAGACACTGGCCTGGCTGAGCTGTATCGTCAGAACAGTTTGGGGACCACTGGCTTGGATGGGGGCAGTTCACTGACCTCTTTCCCCCTTACAGTAAGCAGACCCCCTCCTCCGCCTGAGCCCAGGATCGAAGCTGAGCCGAAGCCTGAAGCAGTGCCGGAGCCAGTTAAGGAAGCTCCGAAGCCACCGCCCCTTCCTCCCACCTCTCCTCCCCAGAAGAAGATTAGCATTCGGGAGTTAACGGTCGGCATCAATGGGTGAGTCTGCACTGGACCACGGACTGTTTCCAAAGCATCCCCACATTTCTCACCATCAGAGCTCGCTCTGCCCTCCCAGGACAAACAGCAAGGCAGGCATGGCAAGCAGAGAGCTCACAGCAGTGAGGACAGGAAAAATGATCACAGAAACCAGAGGGCTTGGTGATGTGTGTCACATGCTGGACTGAAGACAGCAAGGCTGGACATGGAGGACAGCATTAGCTGGGTTGGCAGGAGAGGCCTTGGGGAAGCAACAGGACATATGAGGCCTGAGTGACAAAAGCCATCCAGCTGTGCACCTTGCTGGGAAAAGCCTCTGAGGCAGAGACAAGTGAGAGTTCTGGGCTGGAGGAGGCAAGTTCAGTGAGTTCAAGACCAGCATGAAAGTCCATATGGCTGGTGCAGAGCCAGGAAGGGAAGGCAAGGTGGAGAGGTAGATGCCAGACAGGGTCTGGGCCACTATGACAAAAGAGTCTGGGTCTCAGGAGACAACCTGGTAAGCTTTCAAATTCCCTTCCAGCTATAGGGTTGAGATGCAGGAGTAAGGGATGGCAGAAGGAAAAGGTCACTAAGCATCTGGACAGCCACCTGCACAGGAGATGATGGCCCTCCCACAGAAGTGGTGGCCTCCCTTCTGACTGAGGATGCCACCCAGCCCTCCTCCTTACCTGAGCCCATTTCCTATTGTTGTAACTCAACACCACAGATGGGGCTCTGGAGGATGGCTAGTCTGAGGTTAAGGGGCCATACCTGGTGAGGCCCTCTTGCCACTGGGGACTTTGCAGTTGGTTAGTTCAGGCTGCTGCTCCTCTCACAAAGCCTCCAATGTATCAAAGAGGGCCTGCATTCCTGACTTTATCTAATCCTTATTACTTCCCCCAATCCTACCCCTATCCCACCCTTCAACCCCCCACCTCCACACTGCAGTTATGCTCCCACCCTCTTAATACTTCACCAAGGGAATTCAATTTGCAGGAGCAATTTGCTGGGGTCATTGGAATCATGACCTCACCACTGCCTCTTCCTCTCCCATCCCTCTCTTTACCTGTCCCTGGTCAGATTCGGACGTATTGGTCGTCTGGTGCTGCGCGCATGCCTGGAAAAGGGTGTTAGAGTGGTGGCCATAAATGATCCATTCATCGACCCGGAATACATGGTGAGCCTTGGGCAGGGACAGGGGACAAGCCAGGGCTGGGGGCGGGGCTCAGGAAGCCCGAGGGAGGTGGGGTTCTCTCTCCAGAGCTGTTGCTCTGCCATTCTGAGGCCAGCCGCCACTCCATCTCCTGCAGGTGTACATGTTTAAGTATGACTCCACACACGGCCGGTACAAGGGAAGCGTGCAATACAAGAATGGACGCCTGGTGGTAGACAACAATGAGATCACCGTGTACCAGTGGTAAGACCAGCCTCTGATGTAGCTGGACCTCCATCCTCTCCTTGGGGCTCATATCCATAAACTGTGCCTGCAGCCGGAGGCTAGTTTACTGAAGGCCTTGTTCAGAGGTCTCGGCCCCCTGAATGGCTCCTAGAAAAAACTCTGTTGCCCTCTAGAATACTTCAAAAAAAAAAAAAAAAAGGAGGAAGGGAGAGAAGGGAGAGGAGGGAAGGTGGGTGGGAGGGGAGGGAGGGGAGGGAGGAGAGGAAAGAAGGGAGGGAAGGAGGGGAGGGAAGGGAAGAGAGGAAGGAAAGGAGGACGGAAGGAAGGGGAGGGGAGGAGAGAAGAGAGGAAGAGAGGAGAGGAGAGGAGAGGAGGGGAGAGGAGAGGAGAGGAGGAGAGGGGAGAGGAGAGGGAGAGGGAGAGGAGAGGAGAGGAGAGGAGAGGAGAGGAGAGGAGAGGAGAGGAGAGGAGAGGAGAGGAGAGGAGAAAGGAGAGGAGAAGGGAGGGGAGGGGAGGGGAGGGGGGAGGGGAGGGAAGGGGAGAGGAGAGGAGAGGAGAGGAGAGGAGAGGAGAGGAGAGGAGAGGAGGAGAGGCGAGGCGAGGCGAGGCGAGGCGAGGCGAGTCTAAATGACAACTTTGAACTGACACTCCTAGGGGATAGTTACCACCACACCAGCCCCTCGGGAGCACTTTTTATTGAGCACACTTGCACGCTTCTTCCTAGGCAGATCAACTTAGCGAGTCCACAGCTTGACTCTTGACAGCTGCACAAGGGTCCCTTGCACTGTGTACCTCACAGAGTCTCCTCTGTGACTGTCCCCTCCAGGGACCCGGAACCATGTCAACTCTTGGCGCCCATTCCATGCCATTGCTGACAGCACCTCCAAGAGCAGTCATGCTACACATTTATGTTTCAGATATGAAAATGTCAAAGATACCAAAAGCAGTTCTAATTTATAAATGGGAATCATTAAGCTCGCCTTACCTTTCTGATACAAGATGCTGGCCACTGCTGGTCCCCTGGCAGTGCACTCACACAGGCACCCTCTAGAACCCTTTGCACTGCTCCAAATGGCCCCTCCTTGTACTTGCCAGGGAGGGAGGGCTCTGGTGAAGTGAGTGGGATGAGGGCAGGGAGCAGGTGAAAAGATCTGGGGTCTGAAATCAGTGAAGAGGGGTGCAGCTGCTGCCTTGCATTGAAATCACATGCCAGAACCAAGTCCAGCAGCCTGGTAGCTGCTCAGCTGCCCCATGTCCTTCCTCATCTCAGCCTGGGCACTGTTGCTCCTGCCACATGCGGCTGTCCCCTTCCCAGCCCAGTCCACACGCACGTGCGCTGCCTTCTCTAGACCATGCCAAGTGCTGCACCCCCATCATTCTCAATATGAGTCACATTGTTCTTGTGTCCTTTACCCCTTCCTAGTTGGACGACCCTGGGCAGAGGACCAAATTTGGCAGAGCCTCACCACCTGTCTGGTGGGAGGACGATCACGCCCTGCACAGCAGCAGCTGGGCCCATGAGTGGGAGTTCTCAGGCTGTGGAACTCTCCCTGTGGGCAGTTCTACCAGGCTGTGGCCCCCTTGCAGTGAACTCGCCCTGTTGCTTTGGTACTGGCAGCTACCAGCCTGTCCCCTGGTAGAACCTCGGTACTTCCTTGAAGGATGAATGAATGAAAGGAGCTCTGAAAACAGCCCTGTGGTGGGAGGGAACTCAGCATTTGCTACAGGGGGATTTGTTGATGTGTCCCCAGCCCAGAAGGCAGGGGGTGGAGACACTGGTGAGAGCTGCCTGGGCCGGCTGATGAGCAGTGTAGACAGATGAGGCAGAACACAGGGAGAGGGAATGCTGCCTGCAGCAGTCCAGGGAGAGGAGGAGACGCCAGTTCAGCACTGCATCCCCATGCCCCTGCCCCTTCCTCCTCACCTCACCCTGACAACACTGCCTCTCAGGGGTACTGATGAGCTTCAAGCAGATCCAACAAACAGTGGGAACATGGCATACAGCAGCAAGAAGCAGGCACAAAATGGCCCGGTTTTTAGAACCCACAATGACAGGAGCCCTGTGGGGAAGCAGGCTCAGTGGAAAAGGAGAAAAACCAGCAGCAGACAAGGAGACAGAGGCCAGTGGCCCTACTGCCTGTGACAGGCTCTGTGAAGGAGGAAGACCAGCACAGGGATCACCATGGGCTCCTTTGCTAGATGGTTCCTATCGTACAGGTACAAACCTGGGTAACAACATCAAATGCAGGTACAGACTTAGAAAACAGCCTGCAAAAAGCCTCTCTACTTTGTCAGCTGCCAGCCCCGGCCTGCCTGTCGGCCCTGACGCTGTCTCGGGCCTCTCCAGAGAGCTGCTCTTGGAACCAAGCTATGTCATCTTGTGTTTTCTGACCCTGGGCAGCAGGCTGCTGTTGCAGGAACTGAGTGGTGGTGACAAGTGGGGCTGCCAGGGCTGGAGACCAGAAAGCAGTTAGGCAGGTCACCACCACAGCAGGGTCCATGTCTGGCTAGGCAGCTTATGTAGCAAGGGTCTACCCTTGGGGCTGTTGTTGGCAGGGACGCGGCCTGTCACTGAGCATAGCAGGGCCGGGCGAGTGGAGTTAAGTAGGGGAAGGTGGGCCACACAGGGGCAGCAAGGCCAGCAGAGGTACTACCACCTGCTTCATTGGGGAAGGTGTGTGTTTGTGGGGGGAGAAGCGGGTGGTGCAGGCCAGGCAAGAAGGCAGCTGATCAGCCTTCCCACAATGAAGGCTGGGCTTGGAAGGCAAGGCCTGTGCTGGGAGACTGACAGCCATGTCACCCCCCACAGCAAGGAGCCCAAGGAGATCCCCTGGAAGTCTGTTGGGAGCCCCTACGTAGTGGAGTCCACAGGCGTGTACCTCTCCCTAGAAGCTGCTTCGGTAAGTGGGTGGTGCGTGCCCAGGGCCAGTGGGGCTGACCATCCCCCCGAGTCCCTGACACCTGAGCTCGCTCCCTAGGCACACATCAATGCAGGTGCTCAGCGAGTGGTCATCTCAGCACCGTCACCTGATGCACCCATGTTTGTCATGGGTGTCAACGAAAATAACTACAACCCTGGCTCCATGAACATCGTCAGGTAATGGGCAGCTGCATCCTGGAAGTCATGCATGCCCACCTGTGGAACATGGGCATGAAGGGCTCTCTCCCCAGTGGTACACACCTCCGGGGTAGGCTGGGGGCTCCCCCTCCCCATTGGCATGCACCCCTGGTGCCATCTTCACACCAGTCTTCCTCCACGGGTTCCTCCCAGCCCCGTCCTGTCCTTCCCCACAGTGCAGTGTGAGTGTACACCACGAGGGTTGGCAGGAGGTGGGGAGGGACAACTCCGTGATTCACATCACAGGGGGGTCTGCATGCCCTGGTCATTTCAGCAATGCATCCTGCACTACCAACTGCCTGGCCCCCCTCGCCAAGGTCATCCATGAGCGATTTGGCATTGTGGAAGGGCTCATGGTGAGTTTCCATTGAGGGTCTGAGGCAGGAGGGATGGCAGGGGAACACAGCCTCTCCCTTCCTGGCCCTTGCTCAGGCTACAGCTTTTACAGTAAGGCTGCTTAGCAGAGGGAGGAGGCAGACCACAGGTGGACAACTGTCCTCCCTGCACGTGGCCCTGCTGGGGTCTATGGTGGTGACCCCAACAGTTTCCACACCTATGCTACACTTCTCAGTGCTGGCAGAAGGAGGTAGGGGAGCTTAAGAACAGGAGGTCCTCACTGTGGCCCTCTTCTTCTCCAAGACCACAATCCATTCCTACACGGCCACCCAGAAGACAGTGGATGGGCCGTCCAAGAAGGCCTGGCGAGATGGACGCGGTGCCCACCAGAACATCATCCCAGCCTCCACGGGGGCTGCCAGTGCTGTGGGCAAAGTGATCCCAGAGCTCAAAGGGTAGGACAACAGGGGACAGGAGGCTGGAAGCTGGACTGGGCCTCAAGCCTTAGTGGGAAGCAGAGGCTGGCTGCATCCCAAGGCAAGGGGAAGAGCCAATGCCCTAGGTTCTGACTTGTGCCTCTGATGTGGAATTCTGCAGGAAACTCACAGGAATGGCATTCCGAGTGCCAACTCCAAACGTGTCTGTTGTGGACCTGACATGCCGCCTGGCCCAGCCTACCTCTTACTCAGCCATCAAGGATGCTGTGAAAGCAGCAGCCAAGGGGTCCATGGCTGGCATCCTTGCCTACACTGAAGATGAGGTAGAGGCTAAGAACAAGCAGCCCAGTAGAGAGGAGGGGGGTGGTGTGGCTACCACCTGCCAGGCAGGTCCCAAGAGAACAGCAGGGGTGTCATGGCTGTGTGTGTAGGTCTTTGTGCTAGCAGTTCCTGAAATCTGAAAGCTTCCCCCACCTCTGGGGAGCTACAAGTCTACCCCACTTCCTGCAAGGGTCTACTCCAGTCCCACCCCACCAGTGTGCCCTTCAGAAAGACTTCTTGAGATATTTCATAGTCATTGCTGGCTGGCACGTGCACTACAGGAAAGCAGGAACTTGCAGGGTGTTCTTGTATTTCTGGACCTGCGGCCACCTGCCCAGGGCCAGCTCAGTGCAGTAATGGGCAGATGGCAGCAGCACCCACTTTCTTCAACATCTGCTTGGAGCCAGGCCAGGGCCAGGTGCCTTCCCCAGAAAGCGTGCACGTCACCATCAGATGCGTCGCCGCTGTTGATATCTCTTGTCCCTGTGGGTCTACTGTCACTGCCACGAGGTGCTCCTGTCTTAATGGGATCACTGTTTCTGCAGGACAAGTGTTGAGCCCCAGCAGCAAGCTGCTAACGATGTCCCCACTGCCTGGCTGCCTAAGGCCAATTTCCTGCTAATACAGGGATCCAAAGGGACTGGATGCCTGGCATTCAAGCAGGAGACCTGCTCTAGGGAGTAAACTGGCAGATGGGTGTGTCGTCTGCGTCTCAAAGGAGGGAATCCTCCTAAAAATCTACCTACTGCACAGCCGAACACCCTCCTGGGATCTTCAGCCAGGGTAGCACAAAAACCCTCAGGGCCCCTCCACCTCAGACGCGGTACTGAGGGACGACCTGAGCTATAACCACACACAGGCTCAGGGCCAACCTTCAGAGAGGGATTTCCAAGCCTGCCCGCCGCAGACACCAATTGGCAGCCCCTGGTGAGGCCTCGGGTGGCCTGCAGTGTGTGTCCCCGCTCAGGGAGAGCCTTCCTCGGCCTTGGTCACACCCTGTACCCCCGAGGACTCTATCAAATACGAGATGTTAGGATGGACAACGTGCCGGCACTCCGCTCCGCCTACTGACCCATCTGACTCCCTGCCCTGGCTCCCAGGTTGTGTCCACCGATTTCGTGGGAGACCACCACTCGTCCATCTTCGATGCCAAGGCAGGCATTTCGCTCAACGATAACTTCGTGAAACTCGTTTCCTGGTACGGGCTGGAGATCTGTGCGGGGATCCTGGAGGGGGCGATGGCCGCGCGGGAGCCCCATGCCTAACCACCTTCCTCCCCACAGGTACGACAACGAGTTCGGCTACAGTCACCGGGTGGTAGACCTCCTCCGCTACATGTACAGCCGAGACAACTGAAGCGGGCAGGCTCCCCTTCGCTTCCCTGTACTCCTCCTGGACTCGAACCCTCACCTCGCTCTCACCCCGGGCTCCCCGGGGAAGTAGGGCTCCCAGCGAGAGGGCCTGGTCCCGCTAGGTCCGCGATGAAATAAAAAGCAGGTGCTCATTGCTGTCGCCCCATGTGTCTGTGCCGGCCGCAGCGGGGATCCAACCAGAAATTGGGGACCGGAACCACCATGGCTCGAGCACCGGGCCCCACAGTGCGAGCGCGGGCGCTCTGACGTCACCGCGCGCGACGCCAGGAGCTGGGACTACCGCTCCCAGAAGGCCGCGCGCGGGCCGCGGCCGGACAGGTGGGCGTCGGGTCCCGGGGTGCCGGCGGAGGTGAGGAGCCGGTGAGGACCCGCGCCCGCCGGCATCATGACCTTATTCCACTTCGGGAACTGCTTCGCTCTCGCCTACTTCCCCTATTTCATCACGTACAAGTGCAGCGGCCTGTGAGTGCGGGGCAGGCGTGTGCGGGGTGGAGAGGGCGCGGGGCAGGGCCGACCCCCTCACCACCTGCTTCTCCAGGTCAGAGTACAACGCCTTCTGGAAATGTGTCCAGGCCGGAGTCACCTACCTCTTCGTGCAGCTATGCAAGGTGAGGGAGCGCCCGAAGCCCACGTGCCTGGGCTCCCGGGCACTGCTGCGTGCCCCGGGACACCTGCCGAGGGCTGCGGGGTGCAGAGCGATCACCACAGTGCTTGGCTCCTCTGGTGAAGTCGAGAGCAAGGTGTGTCCCTGGGTGGCCGCTCCAGCCGCTCCTGGGCTGATTCAGATTACCTGTGGTCACTACAGAAGAGAAACTTCCAGGCACATCAAGAAACACCGTCTCCCCCAGTTCTATGATTGTGCTGCCCTCAGAAACCCTCTCTCCCAGAAGGCCCCTAGACCTCAATTTGCTACCCCAACCCATGCACACCCATTTCCCACAAGGGACCCAGCACGCCTAACCTCAAGGTGACCCCTCGGCTTTCCAAACTTCCCAGATGCTGTTCCTAGCCACATTCTTTCCCACCTGGGAGGGCGGCATCTATGACTTCATTGGGGTGAGTAGTACGCGGCCAGGGTTGGGAGGGCAGGAGCCAGGGCCACCCCCATGCTTACCCAGCTCTTCCTGACCCACAGGAGTTCATGAAGGCCAGTGTTGATGTGGCCGACCTCATAGGCCTAAACCTTGTCATGTCCAGGAACGCAGGCAAAGGGGAGTACAAGATCATGGTTGCTGCCCTGGGCTGGGCCACCGCTGAACTCATTATGTCCCGGTGGGTGCCATATGTGGCCTGGAGTTGGACTCCAGCAGAGGGACGCCTGGGTTCCCCCGGGGTGCTAGAGGGTGTCTAGGTGCTAAAGAATTCCCCCGCCCCTCCACCTTAGCTGCATCCCCCTCTGGGTCGGAGCCCGAGGCATCGAGTTTGACTGGAAGTACATCCAGATGAGTATCGACTCCAACATCAGTCTGGTAGGCAGCCCATGTCTCTCCCCACCACCCTACACACACACACACCTCTGCTGCCAGTGCTACAGCTCCTGCCCGAAGCCTGGCCAACCCGCTGCCTTCTGCAGGTCCACTACATCGTGGCATCCGCCCAGGTCTGGATGATCACACGTTATGATCTCTACCACACCTTCCGGCCAGCCGTCCTCCTGCTCATGTTCCTTAGCGTCTACAAGGCCTTCGTCATGGAGTGAGCCCCGGGGAGGGGTGTGAGGCTGGGTGCAAACAGGGTTAGGTTTTCTCATCCTCTCCCCTCATTGTGATGTTTGTCCTGCAGGACTTTCGTCCACCTCTGCTCCCTGGGCAGTTGGACGGCCCTGCTGGCCCGGGCTGTGGTGACTGGGCTGCTGGCCCTCAGCACGTTGGGCCTGTATGTCGCCGTGGTCAACGTGCACTCCTAGGCCTGGACTCCTGAACACGGACACACCACCTCCCTGCCTCCTCTGGATTATAGGGGAGTAAATAGTATTTGAAACCTGGTTGTTGCCTCTGTTTTCTCTCTCGGCCCCCTGGGTCTCAGAGGCCTTCGTTCAAGCTTTGGGAAGAGGCCCACGGAGTGGCTGGCTAGCCTGCTGCTTTGGTCTGTGCTGAGAGCAGTCCCTGGGCCCCTGGTTTCCCCAAAGCAGTGGATGGGCTCAGCTGTAGAGAGGTCAGGTCCTTGGGAAAGAGGCAGAGGGCAGCTGGAATCCCAGAGACAGCTCGTGGGGGCTGCTCCTCCTCTGTTGACGGCCTCCATGTGGCACTTCCCCAGCTGGTGGACATCTCCTGAACTCCTAAGCCAAGCGTCCACTCGGATGCGACATCTTCCTGGTGGCCGGGGGGTCCTGGAGCCTTGTCTTCCTGGGTGACCTGTGCCCACAGCCATTTGTGGTTCCTCAATAACTACTTGACCTTTGGTCCTGTCCTTGGTCTCTCTGGGACAACTCCCTGGGGTGATCTGCCCAGCTACATGGCTTACCACTCTGACTGCAGGACAGCGCACAGTCAGAGCTGTGGACTGCAGCCTTCACCTCTGGGCTTGAACTTGGTTCTCTGGTTCTCAGATTCAATCTGGGCTGAGGCCTTCCCTGAGCCAACAGCTGCAGCCACTGCAGCAGCAGGGTACGCAAACTAGCCATCTGGCCTGCTCCTAATGTCCCCTTCCTTTCTTCCGCCCCTTCTCCCAGTCCTCCCTGGCCCAGCAGACCCCATTCTCTCCATTCTCTCCATCTGCTCAAGGAACTGCGTCCAAAGCGAGGTCTTGCCCTACTTCTGCTCCACCCTGACGCGCACCCCACCCGTTCAGGAGGTGTTCCTTGTCTGTAGTGTCCCCAGTGGACACTTTTCCCCTTCCTCCTGCCCCCTCCAGGTTACTGCGCCAAGAACAGCTCTGCTCCATTCTGCTATGACAGCCTCATTCATGGAAGGGGTGTTTCCCCTCAGGCGGGGTAGGTGCCACGTGGCCCCTGGCTTTTACACTGGTCTAAACTAAGATTCTGTGGGCAGCTTGTAGCCTGGGAGTGGTGGGGGTGATCAGGGCAGTGGTGTGGAAAGGAAGTGGCTGGTCGGCCCTCCTACCACCCATCTGAGTAGGGACATGGTGGAATTGCGTTCTCCCACCCAGATGCTTCCTGGGACAAGACAAAGTTGAACCCCAGCTTACAGGGAAGAGGGCTCAGGGAGAGGAATGAGTGGTTAGAGTGAGGTGGTAGGAGCAGAGGTCAGAATGACCACAGAGAAGCAGAGAACCTGGGCGGGAGGATGAGCTGGGTCACAGTACCCAACCTGTGACAGGTGAAGACGGCAGCAGTGGGACTGGCACGAGCCAGGCATCAGCATTCTGGGTTATGATGGAAAACACAGACTTAATGGGGAACCGGAGAAGCTGCCTGACCTGGCCTGGAGGCAGGTGTAAAGGTCTTAAGGGCCAAACCCAAGCCTGGCCTTCCCGGGAGCCATAAGGGCCAACTGGGATGAGTTCAGAACTAAGATCAAATGCAGAAGAGCTTGTGACGCTGCAGAGGGGGCAAGGGCCAAGCCACAGCTATGAAGGCTGTCTGAGGCTGTGGGAACTGCAACAGCTTAGGAGGTTATAGGCCAAGGTAAGATTTGAGATCCCCGGGCTCTTCGGGACTGTTGTGTGGGGAAGTTTAGAGGTCAGGGCTGGGCACAAGCCAAACTGGTGGGGGCAGGAAAAAAGAGTGGCTAGGAGCCAAGTGGATAGGCAGTGGGCCTTTTAAAAAATCAACAGGGAACACTATGGAGAGGACAGAGAAGAAAGGGACAAGGAATCTGTGGCAGCACACTTGGGAGCACATTTCCCAAGAAGTAGGAGATGCTGTTGGGACAAGTCCAGGGCATAATGCAGAGGCCAGGGCAGGTGGCCCTGGACATGCCGGAGGAGGCTGGAGACAGATATGGGCTTTGCTGCTAAGATGGACAAACTGGCAGGGCACAGGGAGTTATACTGAGGAGAAAGGAGAAGCCCAGTACCAAGGCAGAGAATTGCAGCTAGAACAGAAAGGCAAGCCAAGGGGGCTGGGAAAAGAGTAGCCTATTGTGGAGGGGGTAACTTTTCAAGTGAGAAAGGTGTGGGCAGTACTTGATGAGGAAAAGGGATTTTATGTTTTGTTTTGAAGATTGATTCATTTGTGGCCCTGCATGATAGCCTGGTGGTCAGGATCCCTTATGGGTGCCAATTCTTATCCCAGCTGCTCCACTTCCCATCCAGCTCCCTGCTTGTGGCCTGGGAAGGCAGAGAAGGACAACCCAAAGCCTGGGGACCCTGCACCCATGTGGGAGATCCGGAAGAAGTTCCTGGCTCCTGGCTTTGGATCAGCTCAGCTCTTGCCATTGTGGCCACTTAGGGAGTTAAGCAGCGGATGGAAGATCTTTCCCTCTGTCCTCTCCGTAAATCTGCCCTTCAGTAAAAATAAATCTTCGGCTAAAAAGACTTACTCATTTGAAGGCAGAGTGCTTTCATCAGCTGGCTTACTCCTCAGATGGCTGCAGTACCCAGGGATGGACTAGGCTGAAGCCAGGAGCTGCATCTCAGTCTGCTACATGAGGCCTTAAGCACTTGGCCCATTCCCCATTGCTTTTCCCAGGCCATGAACAGGGAACTGGGTCTCAAACCAGCACACGTATAGGATACCAGCATCACAGGTGGTGGCTCTATCCACTATAACACAACACCAGTGTCCCTCAGGTCGAGGAGCCTCCAAGCAGGGAGACATGCTAAGCAGAGAGAGTCCAGGGGCACTGGGCAAGACAGCGTGGTGGTTAAAGGACCCCCTGCAGCCTTTGAATGCTGAACACTTGACAAAGGCCTGGAAGGCCCCCTTCCCAGGGACAGTGTACTGTACATCTGGCAGTACTAATACAGCCCTGAGTGCGCCGGCCTTAGGTCAGGACTTTGTGAGACCCAAGGCGTTATGCAAGTGCTTAAGCTACTTACTGGCCAGGAATAACAGGGCAATCAATATGAGCTGACTTTATTACCATCGTGTGAACACAAGAGTTTCTAACAGAGTCCCCAGCAGCCCTGTTACCCAGCCTGGAGTCCTCAAGGTGGACAGCCCTCAGGAGGGGCTGCCACCTCAAAGGGCTGTTTCCCTGGAGGATGGGAGTAGGCAGCAGAGGCATGCACAGGTGGGATGTGGGGTGGTCCTTATGTTGTGGTGAGTGTCCAGGGTTCCTGTAAGCCCTGCCCCCACCGGGCTATGGTGGCTGCAGGGACAGCGGCCTAAAAATGGCTGTTTCTTCAGTAGTAGAGTTCCTGGTCCCACCAGCCTGAGGGAGAAAGGGCGGGGGGACTCAGTTCCAGGCAGACACCAACCCAAGGGTTAGGGACACGGAGTTCAGAGGTCATGGACCAGTGGTGGCTTGACAAGGAGGATCAAGGGCTTGGAGGTCAGTTGTTGAGGGTTCCAGATCAGGACAGCTGCTCTGGGGACATTTCTACCCCCTCCCTGAGGACCCGGTCTGCACACTTACTCCCTGGACAGCAGCGGACACCGAGTTTCCGAATCTCATCGTAGACAAAGATAAGGAGGCCAAAGGGCATGGGAACTAGCCACCACTGGAACCTGGGGCCACAGATGGGATGGCAAGATGAACGCCATCCCCCAGTCTGTGCCCATCTCCCCGTCCCTTCGGGCACGCCTCCTCAGCCCTCACCGAATGGGCATGAAGTTGAAGATGTTGGGCATCCCGGGGCAGTAGCACAGGAAGCAGCCAATGCAGACTTGGAACACGATAGCAATCACCAGGATCCTGTTCCTGCGGGGGTGGAGTGTGGGAAGCAGGCTCAGAGGCCTGGGTTGAATCTAAGCCATCAGGGGGCAGGCAGGGCCCTGGGTCAGAGGGAGTTGGCCAACACAGTATTTCTAACGGCCCAGCACGTGTCCAGGCCTGTCTGCATGGCTCCTTCCCATGCCGAGACACAGAAGGGTCAGGGGGAGCATGCGGGAGGAGCCACTAGCCATGCAGTAGGGGGAGGATTTCTGTATTTTTCTGTATTTCAGCTCCTGGCACCACCACATCCCATGCTGGCCTGGGATAGCTGATCGGGCAGCTATGGGAGATGATCCTGGAAACCGAGAGGCAGGGGAGGGGTCCAGGGCCACCTGAAGAAACCCTGCTGGAAAGCAGAGAGGCGGCGGGTCTTGCGGATGAGCACATCAGCAATCTGGCACATCTCGATGCTGATGAAGAAGACGGTGTAGCAGGTGTATTGCTGATAGAGGCGCTGCCCGAACGTCTGTGGACCGGGGAGGGGAGAAGAAGCAGCCTGAGACCAGGCAGGGTGTCTGTGCAGTCAGTCGGCCAGGCGCCAGCATCCCGAGACCCTGATGCCCCAGTGTTCCCTCTCTCCCATCACAGGACAAGGGAACTTTAGTCCTGAGAGGCTGGGATCCCGGCACATGGCAAAGCTGAATGCAGTGGCCTTAGGGAAACCAAGGACTCGAGGCCCATTTAAAGAGGCTGCCACTTGCCAGTCCATTCCTTCATACCAGCAGACTGGTTACTCCCTGGCTTCCAGAGACCTGGTGTTTCCCATGTAACATGCCATGCATGCCATGCTCCCAGTTAGCCCTGGGGGTAGATGAGTGATGTTCAGACTCCACACACATGGGAATCCTGGGAGGGCTGCAGAGGACAGATTTCCAGGCCCCACCCCAAGAATTTCAGACACGAGAGGGGTGGGGACATGGAAGGTGCCGTTCACACAGTGTCACCAGATGTCACAACTGCTGCTGGCTGGGGAACAGACCAGACACTGCTGAGGGAGGACATTACTGTTCTCACTTTATGGATGAGAAAACTGACACAGAGAGGCCAAGCAACTTGCCCAGGGTCACAGAGGAATAGCGCCACCCCCGCAAATCTGGGGAATCTGGCTGCACACAGTGATGTTAGGGGAGCATTCTGCTCTGTTGCTCTCCAGGGCCAACAAAACACATCTGCTAGCCTGGTCTAGCCTCAATGAGCTCCAGAC